TCGATTCGCATGTTAAGTTTTCACGAAGCAGGTAACCAAATTCGAGTACATTTGGAGTGGACTGTATGCATTGGAAGTCAGTTTTGATTCGTATCGGTACAACTTTACATGACGTTCTAATAGAATTTTATAAGAGATTCTGTCGTTTACAGAACCTGAAGGTTAATTACCGTGTTCACAAGAACCCACCAGTGTATCCTATCCAAAGCCAGCTGATTCCTTTCCGCGCCCTTAACCCAGTTCCTTAAGCATTCATTTTAATATTATAATCCCATCGCAACTAGCATGCAGACGGCGAGATACGAACAGTTCCGGGCTGTGCTCTTATATGTCAAAAGATAATTGTTTTCGATTTTGTTAATATAAATATTGTAGTGGTATAAAATTGTAAGACAGTACTTTTATTGGGGAAAAAAATACTTGGGGACAATATGATAATACTTTTCCCAAGGCCCACCATTGCCTTAAAGCGGTTTTAACAAGGCCCCTCCCCCACCCATATCATACATCGGCAGATTTGTACAAAATCCGAATTTAACAAGCGAGGAAATGAAACAAAACAACAGCGATTCTATATCCTTCGTAGCTGTAGAATGTTCCTCGATAAATTTATAATTTTACCCCCGCCCACGAAAGCTTTGCGATCTGAGGCTATAGCCTACCGAAGCAGTTGAATCACAGCCAGGTCTCCATATTTACGTATTATTCCTCTTACGAGTCCTACACAAAGCGTGCACAACCCAGCATAGCTGATTTTTGTTTTTGCCTTTCGAAAGAAACCTGTAAAATGCTGAACTCTTAAAGCTTTTACTGCAAGTGTATTTTTATCATGTTACTTACTTTGTGTCGCTAACGATTCACACGCTTTCACACTGTGTAGTGCAGCCATCAAACAGGGAAAACAAAATACACTAGTAATACGCAATACATGAACATTAGTTACAACTTATACATTTAACACACTGCAGAATGACGAATAACTTAATTTGCCTATCGACACATTTGTAGGAGGAACAACAGTTCCTTTATTCGGACATATCAGGAAGCCAGCCACTTATTTAGGCCTAATCTCCTTTTTCAACTATTAACATAACCTAAAAGAGGACCGAATACGGACCGGAGAGCCATAGAAGAAATTCAAATTGTGAAAATATATAGTATCAGAAATTATACATAAAGATACACCACTACATTATATTATTATCTTGTGTTGTGCCTTCGTAGACAAATCATTTGAAGAAAAGTAGACTTTGCGTTATCACTTAGCATTACTTTGCAATGTTTACAATGAATCTGACACACGTTTCAGTAAAAGATTTTACAGAAAGCATGAGAATGTTACGGTAGAGTATCACAGTACTGAGAGGACCGGTCCAAATTCTGCATAATTTTCAATGTGATCAAGAAAACTGGTGTAAGATCAAACAGTTGGAAGAGATAAGATGAAGATGACCAATTTCATGCTGCATATCTCAAATTGTTATGTAGATAAAATGCTCAGAAAAAATATGACCTTTACAAAACGAATAAGAAATTCAAGATACATTATTAAATACACAGGAGAGAATCTCTAGTTTAGGTCTCACTTAGTATTGTTCAAGGAATCAAACCAGTTTCCATAGCTTAGATGACGGAAATCAATAAAGAATTTCTGTGGGTAAACTTCAAGGAAAACTAATATAAAAATGAGTTTCTGGAAAATTTGTTGTCAGGGTATGAAATGGATTCAACTGGCCAATGTTGGTGGGTTTTACGGGTGAGGAATTTAAAGTCGTACTGCCAAGAATATGTTAGTCACACAAATACACATGAAGCTTTCCAGTCTGGTAAGAAGTTAAACTTACAAAACAGAAGCTCGGCATGGAACATCCTCGCATGATAACATATTGAAGGTCTAGTGAGTTTTATCAGTATTGGTATAATAAATGGAAAGTAAGACATTGTTTGGCCATGAAACAAATAACAGAGCTTAGTTTAAAACCAACGTGCATGAAATAAGGGGCACAAATGACAAATTACACTGGAAAAAAGGAAAACTAGTCCAAACGTGTCTATGTAAATGACATACAACCCAACGGTATATCATAATTTTAGATTAAGACTACATTACATGTACTTATAAGATTACGACAAGCCACGACCTAATCTTTGTGAAAGTCTGTCCAATAGGAAAGCAGGCTTTATGAGTTCTGCCAGAAACTCCATGTTTATATCATAAAAATAATATCCACATGATTAAATGAATAATCAATAGATTATATTTACACACCAGAAAAGCAAAGTGAACTTTGTTAAGTGGTTAGCATTCCTACTTCAGGAGGTCATGGGTTAAAATTTCATTGAGATCAGCTGTCCTTATGTTTTTTATGGGTGTCCTCAGTCGCACTAGGAAAATTCTGGGATAATACTTTAAATTAGACCACGACCACTTCAGATTCATTATTCACGAAACATCCTAACATTTTACAATACATAATTTGAGTACTGACAGTGTCATTGACCAAAAAACAAATAAGCACATAAAAAAAGCAAAACTGGAAGATATTACTGTGTGCGCGCGAGCTTGCCAAAGATTTGAACTGTGGCCCAATGAAAATTTACTGATGCCTATTTCATAATCCCTCTGTGGATACCAAACTGCATACAGTTAGAAATTATACTTCCTTTCACTTTGTTAAATCTGTAACTAACTGCATGGAACAGAGTCCTTGTGAAGCTGTGTTAGTCGAGAAATTTTGCACCTTTATCGAACATAAAGTTTCATTGTGCCCACACAAGCCAGCCAACAGTCCCTGTCCTGAGCCAGATGAATCGAGTCCATATCCACCCACCCCATTTCAAAAAGATCAATTTTAATATAATCTTCTCATCTATGCCTAGTCTTCCGAGTGGTCTCTTCAGTCTTTCTTCCGACCATAATTTTTTATGCATCGCACTGTTGAATATTTGGTACACAATACGTTCCAGATAAATGTTTCAGAATCTAATGAGAGCTATATTTCAATGAGATACCAAATATCTACACAATGAGACAATTTTTGAGAATGTGAATTCAGGTAAATTACATGTGATAGAGTGAAATGAAATTTTAGTGTAGCCAAAGCAATATAAAATCAAAATACATTCACTGGTTTATGAGATAAAATGTAGGAAGATGGACAGACACCACATCCCAGTTATGTATTTATTTAATCCACTCTATGAAAAGAGGAGACAGAAATAAACCAATTTTTAATTTTTAAACAAATAATCACATTCTAAATACTGCACGACGACAAAGACATATTTGCATTCTTGCAGGAAAACTAGCACTCGAGTTGACCTGCATCATGGATCGAGAGACCAAAATTAAAAGTTTCTATTATCATGGGACCACAAATACTTCCCACACCACCTTATGTTTGCATCTGCTGATCCTTAAACCTCGCTGACTTGTATCAAGGATTACAACATATTTCACCATGCCTGCAGTTAGGCAAGACATCAGATGATGATAGTAACTGCACCCTTTCAGATACATTCTGTATCTGCATGGGGAAATTCCAAACCTCTGATATCCTGAAAGCTGTGAATTCAGCATCGGAATGTAAGCACAGTTCGTTCATTACATCACTGTCCATAATGAACAAATCCACATGGAATTCATGACAAACTGTTAGAACGTATAGTGGTTTTTATCTTGATCTTTAGCCGAGTAGCAGTAGAAGACAGGTGTATTACTTTGTATGGTAGACTAGTTGGACTAATTACTTATTCATGCAATGTTTTTATACTTTTGGTCTCTTCATGAATTGAATGTTATGAAAAATTCACTTACTACAATATTATCCAGTAATGGCAGTATAAGACAAAATCCATAAGTTACATTTTCAAATGAGCGTGTCGTTAAGTTTAATTTACTCTAAACAGCTCCTGATGTTATAAAAGTAAACATTTTACTAAAATTAATTAATTTATCAACTTGTGGCTGATTACAGAGTGGACCACATATGCAGTTCTGTAGAGTAAAAGTACCAACACAGTTGCCAGTCTTCTACCACAGTACGCTACCTGCACGATATTCTTCCCACCTCACTCGAAGCTCCATCCATTTCCCAGATTTCTAAATTGATTGTCTGTATAAGTGAATTACACTGGGCTAGTCACTAGATATGCACGATGTGTTTCCGTTATCGAAGATTAACATCCACACGACACATTAAAAATAGAAACAAATGTATAGAAATACCAGTGTCATTCTGTACGCAGACATAAGTTACATTAATATCCGAACTAAATTCAAGTCAACACAACTCACTGCGTCCTAGTATGAAGTCTGACTTGTAAGCATGGTAAAAGACCGAAGAGCTAACCCTCTAGTCTGACTTGTTGACGTTTGAAAGGCAGTGTCACCATTTCATCCATCGAAAGAGATAATCATGAACTTAGGAATAAAGCCGTCCCACTATATTCCATGCAGGCATTCTCAGTCTCAGCACTAGATGGGGGCGAGTGGTCAGCATCGCGCCCCAGCCACGCTTTACCCCCACGGACCCCCCCCGTACCCATCGGAAAGGAGGCTGGGTGGGCACAGAGGCTAGAAGAAAATCCCGTAGTCAGTCACCAATCTACTGACAAAGTTACCAGCTCATATGAAATTATGAACAGCTGAATTTTATAGTTGAGATATCTTCTGCCCTATATTGGCATCATTTAATACAGCTGCAATGAGATTATAGGAAATCTATGAAGATCAGAAACCATTTGAACTGCCCATACTACTGTAATCCTTTGAAGCCAGACTATGTTTACTATTTGTTATGAATTTCAACATAATATGAAGAATACACATCTTTCCCACTAAAAACAGGAATTTAAAACTGGTAAATGTGGTTTTCACTTAAGACATAGAAAACTTCAGAGTATAAGGTTCAGCTACGGGGAACCCATCTGGGGAATATTAAAGGTGATAGGATAAAGTGGGATTTACAAGTGAAACTGAAAGACACAACCAACTTTCATTCATCTTTTGTATAAACCATGTATTAAAACATATTTTTGTAATTTGTTATACACTTATAAATCTATTTCTGGTATTGGTTCATGCTTTCTTTACCACAAAGTAAACACATGTATTTTTTATAAGTTCGCATACAACATTGGGATAACATTAGGATGGTTGATACATATCAATGACTGGATTCATTATTTACAATCACCCTTGGTATTTGGGCATATTTTAAGATCAATAACTAAAGATGTCAACAAATAAGAAGAGGGTATTTAATTTGAGGGGTATGTAAAAATATATGGAAGAATAAATTTAAAATTGCGTAAAATAATCTGTAAATTGATGAATAAAATATTGCTATTATATCAAAAGTTGACCTCTCATTAAGTATTGCTCATCAATTTTCTTTACATGACCCCCAACATTAACACATCTTCAAAGTTACGACCCCATGCGTCATTCTGTCCAGGAAATGTAACACGAGTTTCATACAAATAAACTTTGTGTCCTTTTGAAATAGACTAAGAAATGTAACACATGCAGTCTCTTGGGATGCATATTCATCACTGTTAGGTCACTTGATTTGTTAGAGTGATATAAAAGGACAATTAAAATTGTCAAGCAATACTTTCTTGGTTTAATTCCTTACATTTTGAATATATATGTCCCATGATAAAGCCTCAAGTTCAAAGTACATCCGTGTATCTCTGTTATGCCACACATTAAAACTGCATCCTCCCAGTGATGTTGATAAAGCAAAATTCTGTATTTTAATGAGAAATATAAATTTTTTGATATATGATATGGTTAATAATCATCCAACTCCTCCCAAACTACTAAATAATTAAACAAATTAATAGATGCTTTCACACAATGTAGTTTTTAATCTAAAATAAAACTATCTGCTATTCACACAGTATTCTAGGCATACAGAAAATACATTCGGATTAAAAATTTTCAAACATAAGAGCCGGAGGTTGTTGGGCAGACTAAACCAAATGCAGTCCATATATATATATATATATGCACACAAAAAATGAAAAATATTGTGACATTTTATGTGATTCAATACATGCATTAAGTGGAAAAAGCAATCTCAAACATGGACCCAATTTTGTGATTTCTTTACATGTCAAATTACATATGGGTTATTAAAACTATAGGTAATATATGAATTTTTGTTACAGTACCTGGCAATATGATAATCCAAAGTATATTCCAGTGACATATTTTCAGGTATATATAGATATCACAAATGCGTCGACATCTGTTAAACTCATACAAGCACGCCCACACACAGACAGAAAAATACACGTCACAGAACCACCTTTTTCGTTCACTAAATATGCATATTGCCCACAATTCGAAATATATAATTCTGATATATTGACACACGATACTTTGCAGCAAACAACATACGCACAGTTACAGCTGTAACTAGTCGCAATCCCTGCTTTACCACCACTCAATCCAAACAATATTTTCACTATATATTTATATCCACATATTATTTATATAGAAAGATATTACACATTGCTTTTTTGTAATTTTTTTAAGCTTTATGAAAAAGAATTTCCACTGATTAACTAACAATATAGGTGGAATTTGTATAGAAGATGTCACACTTAAGTTCCTAAAAAATGTTCTGTACACAAAACATCACTCAGTTAAATATCATTTATATTATGGCAAATAATTCAAAAGACACAGCACCAACTATAAAAATTTGGGACGTTGAATATGTAACAATGTGCGCCGTATATGATACGATATAGTACATATATACGTATATTTGTAGTCACCACTGTAGATGGTATAGTATTAATCTTTCATTAAGATGTAAGATCTTAGGCCAGACTGAATCGATGTACTGAACTTTTTCAGCATTATTATACCCTTCTGTTTTTTTGGAGTAACTAATGGCAATTTCCAAATTCAAGAATGGTACCCTTGTACCTTAATATTAATTTACAGCAAAATCAATGGTGTTCTTTGCTTTAATATTAAGGCATATTTTTGCAAGCATGTAGGTATGACAGAACACATATTCTTTACTTACATTAATAATGAAAATTAACATCCATGCTATTAATTCAGAATTTCTGACTATAGGCTTATAAAAATATGCCTCTCTTAGTCTTCAGTAGCTATGCAAACTTGATTCATTCTGGTATTGTTCAGTGAGCATCAGAAATGTGTGTAGGCCCACAGAGAGACTATACATGAACTGATTCCAATATTGTGCAGCCATGATTTAAAAGAAGCCAACAATGCCTACTTTACCATTCTGGCCAGATGTATAAATTTCCATGCTCTGTCTTGTATCAGAGGCACTGAATATAATTAGCTAACTGCAAAATCTTGGTAGAAAAATCTTCCTGATACTAAACATGTCCTACGTGTTCCTTGACACTTAAAATATAACTGCACTGGCTCAAAAACATGTAAATAGACATACAAAGCACAATTATGAAAGCTTCAAAGCTAACATAAAATGAACAAATATTCATAATTCAATCCAAAATTAAAACAGCATAACATTAAATAGTAGCCAGATTAAGTTTTAAGCAATGTTTAGATGTTTCTTACATAGATAGGCCCTAAAACTTTAATTTAGGACATTTCACCATCATCATGCAGGTAGGTAAACTCTTGAGGATGTCTAATTTAAAGGCTGACCAGAGAAATTAAGATTCATTATAGCTTAAAGCACCGTGCAACAACAATAACTTTTCTTTTCCTTCTCAGGACTGAAATTCATTTCTCTTACAATCTCGGCAAACACTTCATTTACGTTTGTCCTGTTTTTGGCACTTGCTTCCACAAATGGACATCCCCACACTTGCGCCAATCCATTTCCTTCACTGGTTGGCACTTCGCGTTGATGTTCAAGATCCACTTTATTGGCTACCAATAATATAGGTACCCTTTCTGTCCCTTTAACTCGGGTGATGAGCTCTTTCATTGCTTTTATGTCTTGGAACGTTTGGTGATTTGTGAGACTGTATACTACTACAAAACCTTGCCCATTTTTAATATATAAATCACGCATGCTGGCGAATTGTTCGGTTCCAGCTGTGTCGAGAATTTCCAACACGCAGGGAGAATTGTCCACCTCGATTTCCTTCCTGTAGAAATCCTCAATAGTTGGATCATATTTCTCCATAAAGCAACCGGATACGAACTGGACAGTAAGTGCACTTTTGCCAACCCCACCCGATCCGAGGACAACTACTTTGAACTCGCGCATTTTTGTCTATATTTCACACTTCTTCTTCTGAGCTGGAACAGTTACTTTCACTGTGAAGACAATGATACTTTATGCGTGATATATGCACAACCAAGAGGGAACTTGATCCAAAACTTATCCCGTAAAACGAAATTACTGCAAGCCATTTCAACCATCACACCTACTTCTCCTTCGCCATCTTCCTGACTAATATTTTGCAGCTGGATTGTAGAGGTCTCTGGCGGTGGAACATGAAAACATGAAAACGGAAATGAGGTTTATATCACATGGCAGCTGTTGCAAAATAAAACATCGCCATAAAGCGTCATAGAGGTCCTCGTTGGAAACGAGATAAGGATGGTTATATAGAGATTTGGGGAGTGGCAATAGCATTAAATTGATTACGAGTAATACCATATTGTCCAGGAGTTTGGCGTAGTCTGATATCAGGTATGAAATTGCGTATTCTGCGTTAAAGATTGTGGTTTAATAGGTTTTATCGTGAAGTACATAGTAAATTTTATACTAGGACGAGACCACAGACATTAACTACTGTATGAACCACTGTTTGATGTATTTTATGAATACAGGTGGTGATGGTGTTTAAAACCGAGGTAGTAATTTTCAGCACGCAATAGATTTGCTGTGCGTTTTATGATAAGTTTATCTCATGTGAATGTCATCTACCCAAAGTTTTTTTTTCGTTATCACTCCGCGATCGAAATTGAGAACTTTCGTCAGAGGTGTTTTTGGTTCCTTGATAGGGGTTGTCAATTTAAAGTGACGAGGGATCCACTTCACAATTACAGCAGGTGTCATTTTATATAAAAGTTTAGATCAGTTAAGAACACTGGCAGCTGAGGGAAGGCTGCTGTCAGCAACATATCGGTATATCACTTTTGGAGTTGTTTTAAAAATTAATTTAATCTGTTTTCTCTGCACTTATTTACAAAGAAAGTGTGCTGTTTACATAATTATTGTTAATTTCATCATCAAAACTTTGTGTATAAATTTTGACATAAAAGAACCATTTTGCATGTCTTCAGGTGCTTCAGGAGAAATACATTATGAACTTGTAACCTTCCCCTCCATATATATGGCCCTGAATATTTTTTCTGAGATAAGGTACAATATATTCAGTTACAAAAGAAACTTGATGCTTGTAATGATAAGATTGAGGTTTACTGTTCAGCTGTACAGGCAATCATATTGTAATTCAGTTACCAGCTGGTTAGAGAAGGGATTCAGTATATTGCTGATGTATTGGTCTTTATTTACAATTGGCTGAAAAAAAATATTGGGTTGATGATTTTCTGAGCATGATCACAATCTTGTAGTGTGTAATGGCTCTTGTTCAACAAGGTGAGGATTTTCATTGCTTTACATTCATATATTTTGTGTATTGATGAGATCTCTAAGGTGGTCCACCTGGTTTTTGATAAGCTGCTATACATATGACTTTGTGGAAACTTAAATAGAATAGATTATTGTGAATATTTTACCAGCAAGCCCCTAAATGCATTTTCTTTAAGTTTTCTTCCCAATGAAGATAACTGTAAATTGTATACTTCATTGTAAGAGCAATAGAATTCAGGCCTTAATCTCAACAAATCTCAGTGTGCAGTACTGTACTAACCGCTACATGTTTGTTGGCTGTATCAGTGACTCATCATCAACTGGTTATCACAGTGACTGCAAGAAAAACTTCTTTTGTATTGCTAGTTGTTGGTGTATCGACTCCTAGACATTCCAGATAAGAATTTTGTGTACTCTCAATACCCCCAAAAATAAAATCAGTCAAAATAAAAGCTTAAAATTCATCACAGAACATGAGTATGAGAATTCTTCATTGTTGTCATAAGTTGACTATTTGAACTGATTATGTTTCACAGCCATAGATGTGATTTTACATCACTGGAATGGGTGATTCTCGCTTGGACTTCGAAGTTTTGTCAGTGGGTTAATCATAAGTATGTAGTATTTGTGACTACTGTACCTTCTTATATTTTTCAGTGTGCGTGTAAGTGACTTCTCAAGGATAAGACAGTAACAGCTGAGATGTCTTACCCACCACCTGGACAACAGGGGTATCCTCCACCATATTCAGGTATTTAGGAGCAGACTCTCAGATTCTGGAATATAGATGCAGTGCATTGAAGTGAATTCTTAAACCGTCCTTGTGTGGAGTGTGTGAATTAGTTAAGTACCAGTATCTTTATTCCATCATTTTTTATTTCTGTGAAGCAAATATGAAACTGTGTTCATTGGGTATTACATTACATTCACAAACAGTGCTTCCCACATATCCTCTGAGGAATGCAGCTGGATTCTGCTTTTGTCTTCATGTTAAAGGAGGAAAGAGGATGGAAAGTTCATCTGTTGGGCCCCCTGGCTAGCCTCAGACCTCAAATAATCTATTCCTAGTCTTTCCAGCAAATAGCCTAATCTCTGTACTATAAATATCCTTTATATACTATGTTTCAGAACACTGAATTATTATTATTATTATTAAGTGTTCTGTCTTACGACAGGTCCATTGCTCTGCCCAAAAAGAGCTCTCCAGTTGTCCCTATTCTCGGCTTCTCGCTTTAATTCCTGGAACGTCATCTTCTTTCCTTGTTTAAGGTCGTCGGTTAGCTGTATCAATCTTCTTCCCAGTCCTCGCTTTCCTTCAATCTGGCCTTCGATGATATCACTCAGTAACCCATTCCTTCTCATAATATGTCCCAGCCAGTTAGCTTTCCTTCGTGTAATCGCCTGCAGAATGTTTCTTTGCTCGTTGACTCTCCTCAATACTTCTTCGTTGGTCACTCGATCCGTCCACCTGATCTTCTCTATTCTTCTCCAACACCACATTTCAAAACTCTCCAGGTATTTCTGTTCCTTCTTCCTGAGTGTCCAAGTCTCTGCTCCATACAGCGCGACGAATACCGCAAGGAAGAATTTACTTTCAGTGTGTTTGCGTACGTTAGGTGCTGCAAAGTGTTAACACAACCACCAACGTAAAAGTAAGATAATCAGTAATGTGGAAAGCCGAGTTACGTTACAGATGTAATGTAATTGCCGGGTGTACTCCTTAGTTCCTGGGCTGCACTGTATTGGGCACAGCCAGGTAAAGATTCAGAGGAATATGGTGCTTTGGTAGCCATTTAAAAAACACTGACTTCTGTGAATGGACCATTTTACGAGGCGCGTCCTCAAAGTAAGTTTCCCTGTCATTCCGTGGGACCAACTTTTGAATACCTGTGTCGTAGAAGTCTGCCGCCTGGGATTGGAACCACTGTGTGACAGCCATCTCCGCCTCTCTGTCATTCTCAAAACGCTGACGCTGACGCTGACCGGACAGGAATTTCTTGAGGTGTAGGAAAAGATGGAAATCACTGGGAGCGAGGTCCGGGCTGTAGGGTGGATGATTAAACACCTCCCAGCTGAACTCCTGCAGGAGACTTGCTGTCCGTCGAGCCGTGTGCGGCCTAGCGTTATCACTGACCGCACTTCACAGTCGGCGGGAGCTGGAATAAGAACCTCCATCTTCAACAGCTGCAACGATGCTACTGTGAGAACGCGGGAGGTGCCGTTAGTGCATGCGCCATGCTACGTCATTGCTCTATCACGTACGCACAGTCGCTTCGCACAATATAAGGTTTGCTAGCTGTGGGACGAGTGGGAAACTTACTTTGAGGACGCGCCTCGTAATTATTTCTCAAACTTTATTATGAATATCTCTGTTTCTTGTAATGCTTCACCCTACATTATTACCGCTAGTCTTGAAGTAATATCTTGGTAAAATATGTAACTAGAAGTTTGGAGGTAATGGAAGAGATTATGGTTTTTGGTACATTCCCCTCTGCACTGCCCACCGTGCCGACAGCTTGCAAGACATCTGGCAACTACTCTGTGTTTCATGTGCCATTAGGACAAGGCCAACCTCTGCCACCTGGAGGCTACCAACCACCTCCAGGACAGGTGGGATTCCAGCCTCATCCAGGCTTTGTTCCACCTGGTGGACAACCAGGTTACCAGCCTCAGGGTTACCAACAACCAGGTTACCAGCCTCAGGGATACCAACCACAAGGATACCAGCCCCAAGGGTACCCTCCCCCAGGGGGATATGGGCAGCCAATTGCAGCACAGCCAACAAGTGGCGGGACCCCAGCAGTTACTGGTGAGTAGTTTCTTTAAATCTGTTATCTTGAAATGATATTCTGTAAGTATGATTTGTTATACCGCATTTGTAACATAAATGTTGGGCTCCGAACACAAAATCTGTGGGGGTGAACTGTGTCAGTGCTTGAAGAAATGGAGGGGGTGTGAAGTTTCTCATACTTTGCATTTCACATTTAATTAATATGAGAGTAAAATGTCAAAGCGACAATATTTTAGTATGAGAAATAGCAGGGGTTGGTGAATGCTGTGCGGATGCTCAGGATGCCACCACAGATACCGTGTTCATATTCTGCCCTTGGATCTACTCGGGTTCAAGGATAAGTTCTGTTTCGTATAGTCACATAAAATAGAGTCTGTTTCTACTGGGTCTTGATGTTGGAATCTTAACGCAATAATCCGCAAACGCGTACATTTTCAAAGGTTGCCCATTCTTGTAGTGAGTAACTGTCTATTCCTCTCTAAATTATTTTTGTATGTCATTTACTAAATCCCTTTTAATCCCTATGTTTCATATTCTATCAAAAACTTTCACATCGTGTACAAATAATTGTTAGACTGGCTTATCATTAAATTCATGTTTTTAAAATGGAAGTCTGTGATATCACAGATATTTTTTATTATTTATCAGTCCTACGCAGAGATTTCGAATTACATGAAATGGTTGCCAGATAACATTATTGTTTGACGTGCGTCACTTTATATAAAGAAGAACATGGAGGCCCTACATGTATGTATGAATGTATAGTGATCAATAGGGCACAGAGACCTGAAAATATTTGTATAGCAAGAATGTTACGACATGGAGAAGGATGCACGAAGAAAAAAACATTTATGTGCAATGATGATGTCTAACAATAGTCTGTATCATGGATGGTTTTTTGTGATGTGTGGATTTTCACAGTTCAGATTCATTGTCTCTGGTTTCATAAAATATGGGGACTTCCTTGACTAGATGAGTGATTATCAGCTTCTGAAGACAGACTTTACACCACCGAGTTAATAGTTCAGCTTCTTGACTGCTGAAAAATATTATTTTCGTTCACAGTTTGCGCCGTATACTGAAAAATATCTTCCATACATTGATTTTCCTGTCTCAGTCAAACCTTTTTCTTAGTTCATCTCTGATAACTACAGTAATATGGTGACAGTTAAATACATGTGTTTATTATTATTATTATTAAGTGTTCTGTCTTACGATAGGTCCATTGCTCTGCCCAAACAGAGCTCTCCAGTTGTCCCTATTCTCGGCTTCTCGCTTTAATTCCTGGAACGTCATCTTCTTTCCTTGTTTAAGGTCGTCGGTTAGCTGTATCAGTCTTCTTCCCAGTCCTCGCTTTCCTTCAACCTGGCCTTCGATGATATCACTCAGTAACCCATTCCTTCTCATAATATGTCCCAGCCAGTTAGCTTTCCTTCGTGTAATCGCCTGCAGAATGTTTCTTTGCTCGTTGACTCTCCTCAATACTTCTTCGTTGGTCACTCGATCCGTCCACCTGATCTTCTCTATTCTTCTCCAACACCACATTTCTTACATGATATAAATTATTTGCATATGTTCCTGTGAATCACAAAACTTAAACTAATGTATCTTTTCTCTGTTTGTGCCATATTGAAGCAATAGTTTTATACAATAAAGATGACTCTATGTGTGAACATTATGCCACAGAGGCATAAAGTGAATACTGAGGTAAAGGTCCACACATTCTAGACGTCAGCATGCTCTCCTATCCCCTGTGGGCAAAGCCCCTAGTACCCATTTAACAGGGAGCAGTTGGGTTCACAGCTGTTTCAGACTTGGTGGCGAGGAGAAAATCGTTACCCATGCTGGGAATTGACACCTGTCTCGTTTGATCAGTGTGGGTATCGGATTTTGCTGATACAATTCGTTATAGGATTCTCTATAAGATATTGTAGGTGCGTCATATTGTGATTTATTTAAATAGTATTAAAAATATATTAAAATTGGCCGTCAATCACAATATAAGATAATTAAAAGATTAAAATATCATTTTTCGTTCCGTATCGAGTACTCGATTTACATATGGAACATTTACGACATGTTTCGGCTATCATAGA